GCTTCAAACCAAATGGGTGACTATGCATATATATATATATATCAGTAGAAAAAGGAATGATCCATCAGGTTCAGGACCGATCTCTAATAATGAGTTAGATCGAACCAATATTAATCCATTTTATCCCATTTATTCCAAGATAAGGATTCAACAATCATTTAAACAAAATCAAGGAACTATTAGTACGTTGTTGAATAGAAATAAGGAATGTCAATCTTTGATAATTTTGTCATCATCTAATTGTTTTTAATAATAACTAAAATTATCATTCGTATACTGCTTTTTCAAATTCTTGAATGGTCTGAGGATTTTAAAGATTGGAGTAGAGAAATGCACCAATGCCCCTGCCATGTTTTGTACCCTCTATAATAAGCTATTCCACCTGTACTTAGACGACTGGGTACCTAATATTAATAACTCATAATCAGGTTTCGGGTATACTAAATATTGGAAACTTGACAATTTAAAACAGACTTTTCAAGTACTTAAATATTATTTAATGGACGAAAACTGGAGAGCTTTTTCAAATAATTAAAATAGGTGGCGTCTCACCCAAAATGGGAATGGGTTAGGGTTATGAACTTATAATCTACAATCTGATAATTGAGTCGATTCCATGGTTATAAGTTTATTCCATATCAAACCAGTTTGACCAGGCCCAATTCTACTTGTTTTGTTCCGAAGCAAAGATATCCACTGGGCAGTTTGTCCTATTCAGATATTCACGATCAAAGATCGTGATTGGATCCGCATATGATTGGTAAAAAGAAAAGTCTTTTACATGGGAGAATAGAAGAAATGATGTTGATTTTTTCAAGGAATGATTGGACAAGGCAGCATGTTCAACCTCTTGGCAATCGATTTTCAACATGGCAAAACTTTTGGTGTTGCAAACTGCATCATCTGATCATTTGCCTTTATTCCTTTCTTTGGGAATGACTTATACGACATATACGCAGAATAGGTTTCGATTTGAAAATTCATGGGCGTTGGAAGTGTAACATCCCTCCCCGGTCCACCCATTAACCCGAATGAACCGAGCCGAGATGCTACAATCTGGTTGAACTTATGTCCTGTCATATTGATATCATAATGTATGCTAAATAATATATCATGCTGTTGCTTTCTACATTAGTAAAATATAGATATGTACTTAATATTTACAAGACAATAGACTAGTTTCCCAAATGAAATGGGCCCAACTGTGTGCCCTGTACATGCCATGATAAGGATAGACAGAATCAAAATATCAAAATGAGTAGCTACCCTGAAAACATCCATATGATTCATCAAGAGCCATATTCTAACTTGGTTTCTTTGATCCAACCCATCTTAGACAACTCATGTTGAGTCATAGACCTAAATGACATAATTAAGGAGATTAACGCCATCACTCAGAGTGAGAGACAATAGCCATCTCCTCCTCCAGAAGCTATACCCAACCCAGCCACCCTAGCCAAAGACATGCCTAGTTCTAGCTCCAGACCCTAGACTGAGAACTGGTCTTGGAGCAGCCGAAGAAAATCAAGGCTAAAATTTCTATATGAGGGTTAATCCAGTCCTCATTTGCGCACCGTCAAGCCCTGGTGAAAGCTATGAATCAAGGTTAGACTTTCGCCGATATAACTCCGGAGGCATTGGTGGCATCTATCATGAGGAACCCCTTAGCATTGGCTCTCTATTTCTCTGACCATAAGATCCCTGCTGGAGGAGACCACAATTATGCTTTATACATCACAGTCCAGGCCAAGGGTAAGACAATACCTATGGTTCTGGTAGATAACGGGTCCGCTTTGAATGTCTGCCCTCTAAACGTGACCAGCTTCGTAGGCCTAACTACTGAAGACTTTATGCCATTCCTAATCCTTATACTTTGATCTTTTTGTCTCATTCAAGTAAGTCCACTTCTTTTACTTAAAAAAAAAGAGAGAGAGAGAGGAAGTGCAAACAGAAATGGCAAGAAGATATTGGAACATAAATTTGGAAGAGATGTTGGAAGCAGGAGTTCATTTTGGTCATGGTACTAGGAAATGGAATCCTAGAATGGCGCCATATATCTCTGCAAAACGTAAGGGTATTCATATTACAAATCTGACTAGAACCGCTCGTTTTTTATCAGAAGCTTGTGATTTAGTTTTTGATGCAGCAAGTAAGGGAAAACAATTCTTAATTGTTGGTACCAAAAATAAAGCCGCTGATTCGGTGGCGCGGGCTGCAATAAGGGCTCGGTGTCATTATGTTAATAAAAAATGGCTCGGTGGTATGTTAACAAATTGGCCCACTACAGAAACGAGGCTTCATAAGTTCAGGGACTTGAGAACAGAACAAAAGACGGGGGGACTCAACCGTCTTCCGAAAAGAGATGCAGCTATGTTGAAGAGACAATTATCTCGCTTGCAAACATATCTGGGCGGGATTAAATATATGACGAGATTGCCTGATATTGTAATCATCGTTGATCAGCAAGAAGAATATACGGCTCTGCGAGAATGTATCACTTTGGGAATTCCAACAATTTGTTTAATCGATACAAATAGCGATCCCGATCTCGCAGATATTTCGATTCCAGCAAATGTGAATGATCCAAAACAAAAAATAGTGGTATTTGCTAGCAACAACATAATGGAGGTAGTCAATCAATATGAATTGATCCTAAATCTGATTCAAATCCAATATAGTACCTATGGGTACATAAGAAATGTATTGACTCAATTCTTTTTAATGAATAGATCCAATCGCAACTTTGAATATGGAATTCAAAGGGAATAAATAACTGGGTATATTATGCGATTTATTTGGATCTAAAAAATACAATTTAAGCGGGCAAGTCGAAAAAAAAAAGAATGGTTGAATCAAAATAATTCTTTTAAAGTTTTCTTTCTTTCAGAGGGCAATATGAATGTTCATCAATGTTCCATAACCATAAGGGTTATAATGATATATCCGTGGTGGAAGTAAGGCCAAGCATTTCTATTGGAAAATAGGAGGTTTCAAGTCCAGTGCCCAAGTACTTATTACTTATTGGGTTGTAATATAACTATCTTATTAGGTCAAGGCCATTGTAGCTGTTCGGAATCCACAACCATCCGACTGGCGGGCAAAAATTTCTTCGAATATGTCTGAATTCATTCGGGATGTGAGCAACAAAACTCAGATTGGAAGAGGAAATATGGCTCATGGGTCCCTTTATTGGAACTATGTTTTTATTCCATTTTGTTTCTAATTGGGCGGGGCGCTTTTGCCCTTGGGGAAGATCATAGAGTTACCTCATGGGGATTAGCCGCACCCTACGAATGATATAAATACTACCGTTGCTTTAAGCTTTACTTAACGTCAATAGCATATTTTTTTTTATGCGGGCCTTAGAAAAAAAGGATTAGGTTATTTCAGCAAATAAACATTCCAAGCCAACTCCAATCCCTTTCTACCCAATTAACATTTTAGAAGATTTTCCAAAAACCTTTATCACTTAGCTTTCGACTTTCGGAAATATATAGCGGGACGATTAGTAGTTGTTGTTCTTGTTTCTTTAAGTACTTCAGTGTTCCTATCCTGTCATGTTCCTTGGATTATTTACAAGCGGTATTCAGCTCTTATTTTTGCAACTTTAGCCGCGGCTTATATTAGGCGAATCCATGGAGGGGCATCATTGACTAATTTTCGAAATAGCTTAGTGCGGCAATCTATGCTTTGGTTCCAAGATAATCTACTTATACTTAAATGAACATAAATTAACTTAATCACATAAATAGATCAACATAATAGACAAAAAGGTCTATACGATCTAAAGGATAAATAATAAAAAAAAAAGATTACGATATTAGGGAATTGTAAAAAAAAAAGGGAAAGAGATCTAAAAAAGATCTTTTTCCTAGAATTCCTTTTGATCATTTATTACCTTCTTCCAATGAATAATTTCTTTTTTAATGTCTTGATTTTTTTGTTCATCAATTCCAAATCTTAGGAGTAATTAATCTAATAAATTCTTTATTTGTTTAACAAACGTGTGATTAAAAAAAGAGAGTTTCTGTTCTAATAGGGCGATTTCCATTTCAGTCGTTTTTTATTCAATTCACGATTGATCAAAAAAAAATTTTCAAATTTTAAATTTTAATAAATAATAAATTTACAGGAACTTAGATCAACCAAAACCCAAAGACTTCTTTTTCTTATGCAATGATTCAGACTAATGAATTCGCCCATTTTAGATTGTTGTATCCTGTGGGTATGATAAGGAAGAGAAGAATTACAAAAAATGAGATATCAGAAAAAAATGGGATTGTTTAGGAAAGTGGAATCCAACTAGGTGTAATGTAATATATATAATGGCTATAAGACCAACTTTTTTTGTGAAATATTTTTCAAATCAAAAAATGATTTAGAATCCGATTGAAATCTAAGATATGAATAGTTGTTTACGTTAGGAAGGAAGGACGTGTATATGTATATGTTAAGTATTAACCCCAGTTATATATGATATGAGTTAAAAGATATATCTAATCCGCCCTACTACTGGAGATTTAGATAAGGATTCCAAAAAAATCTTTTCCTTTTCGTTTGTAACTGTGAATTGAATATTGAATAAGAAGAATTAAATCAAGAAAAAGAACGAGAGTTTGAATTCAAGAAATAATTCGGACAAGAAAGATGGAAAAAATTGTATGAATTCCCACAGTAAAACTTTGTGGATAGGAATTAAACCTCTAATGATTAGAAACTAAAAAGGAGATCTCGAAGCAGTTCGGAGAATTCAGATTATCGTTTCAATTTGTACTTTTTAGTTACTTCTGTCCAATAGAGCTTAGAAATATGAATTTCTTGGTTGATTGTATCCTTAACCATTTCTTTTTTTTGACACGAGGAACTCATCATGAATCCACTAATTGCTGCTGCTTCCGTTATTGCTGCTGGATTGGCCGTAGGGCTTGCTTCTATTGGGCCCGGAGTTGGTCAAGGTACTGCTGCAGGACAAGCTGTAGAAGGTATTGCGAGACAGCCAGAAGCAGAAGGTAAAATACGAGGTACTTTATTGCTTAGTCTAGCTTTTATGGAAGCTTTAACAATTTATGGACTGGTTGTGGCACTAGCGCTTTTATTTGCGCGAATCCTTTTGTTTAACCCTATAAAATATAAAAAAAAAATACGTTTTTTTTATTGATTGGACTTGCTGCTTGTTTTTTCGAAAATTATATCAAGATTTCAATTCCTACAATCATTACTTATTTATTTTTATTGGACAATAACCCACGGAAGGACTGATTGAGGATGAGATTGTTATAACTGCTTTCTTCCTTGCCCCTTCTTAATCAAAACAATCGAAACCCTTTTTTTTAAGAAATATTGCACAGGATATATTATTTGTTTTGGCAATTGACGGGAGACCAAGGTACCGAAATTCTAAACTGAATTTTAATAGAACAATACTTATTAGAGATTTTCCATTGAAAAAAAAAATTCTTTCTCAAAATCAAATCTATAATTTTTTATTTACTCTTTTTGTTAATAGCCTAATTAGAATATAATAGCTAAATTTGAACAAAAAATAAATAATAATATATAATAATAATTAATATATATAATAAAAAAATAAAAAATAAAAAATAATATATATAATATAGAAATATATAATATAGAAAAATATATATTATAGAAATATAGAAAAAATCTATATTCCTATATAAAATCTATATATATATATAGAATATAGAAACTATATATATATATAGATATAGAAAATAATATAGATAAGAAAAAAAGATAATAATTCGTCTGTTGGTCACTGGCCATCCGCCGGGAGTTTCGGGGTTAATACCGATATTTTAGCAACAAATCCAATAAATCTAAGTGTAGTCCTTGGTGTATTGATCTTTTTTGGAAAGGGAGTGTGTGCGAGTTGTTTATTTCAAGAATAGGCTGGATTCACCCAGTTGTACTTTTTTTCATTATAACTAGGAAAGAAAAGAGTGCATGATCCCGCGAATTACTTCTGAATAAATTTTTAAAATCATATTATAGAACCATAGCATTTCGTGATTCATTGGTACATCGACTTTGATTCTCTATTAACCAATAATCTGGGACCATTAACATGGTTAAGGCCAAACCCGTTTGAAGTTCAGATGCAGCAGGGTACTCTTTCTACTACTATGTTACTAAATACAGAAATATTTTCAAAACAAAAATGTTTTTTCGATATAAAACACTCATGTCGATAAAACGATTTGAGCCCCTTTTTCCAATGCTGAATCGATGACCTATGTATAAAGGGAGAAGAATTCTTTGAATTTGAAGAAAAAAAAGAAACAACTTTGCTGACAAATTACAATTATACATTATACAATTCTAAGTACAATTAGAAATTCCAAATTATATGTAACTTTTTTATTTATTATTTTTTTATTATACTTTTTAGTTTTTTGATATATTTTCTATTTTGGTCAGAAGAATCCTCCGAATATTCTGGTCTTGGATTAGTAATCAGTTTCGATATTTTGGAATATGAATAGAGACGAGAGGGAGAGGGTAAGCTCATTACATTAGAAAAAAAAGATATTGGGAATTAATTCCCAATAAATAAGAAATAATTGAGCGTGAGAGCCAAATGAATCGAAAGGTTCATGTTTGGTTCGGGAAGGGATCATGGAATTTTTGAAATAAAAAAAAATGAATGGAAAGATAATCTACTTTCATTAAGTGATTTATTAGATAATCGAAAAGAGAGGATCTTGAATACTATTCGAAATTCAGAAGAACTACGCGGGGGGGCTATTGAACGGCTGGAAAAGGCCCGGGCCCGCTTACGGAAAGTTAGAGCAGATCAGTTTCGAATGAATGGATAACTCTGAGATAGAACGAGAAAAATCGAATTTTGATTAAATTCAAACTTCTAAGACTTTAGAACAATTAAGAAAATTACAAAAAATTTTGAACAACAAAGAGCGATTAATCAAGTCCGACAACGGGTTTTCCAACAAGCTTTACAAGGAGCTCTAGGAACTCTGAATAGTTCTTTAAACAACGAGTTACATTTACGCACCATTAGCGCTAATATTGGCTTGTTTGGGGTGATGAAAGAAATAACTGATTAGCCCTTTTTTTTACCTTTTACTTTATTGTAGATTGTAGGCATTATTTTTTTTCTTCCAAAAAATAATTAGGAAATACTCATGGTAACTATTAGAGCCGACGAAATTAGTAATATTATCCGTGAACGTATTGAGCAATATAATAGAGAAGTAAAGATTGTAAATACTGGTACCGTCCTTCAAGTGGGCGACGGCATTGCTCGTATTCATGGTCTTGATGAAGTAATGGCAGGTGAATTAGTAGAATTTGAAGAGGGTACCATAGGCATTGCTGTTGTATTAATGGGTGATGGTTTGATGATACAAGAGGGAAGTTCTGTAAAAGCAACAGGAAAAATTGCTCAGATACCAGTGAGTGAGGCTTATTTGGGTCGTGTTATAAATGCCCTGGCTAAGCCTATTGACGGTCGGGGTGAAATTTCAGCTTCTGAATCTCGGTTAATTGAATCTCCTGCCCCAGGTATTATTTCGAGACGTTCCGTTTATGAGCCTCTTCAAACAGGACTTATTGCTATTGATTCGATGATCCCTATAGGACGTGGTCAGCGAGAATTAATTATTGGGGATAGACAGACCGGTAAAACAGCAGTAGCCACGGATACGATTCTCAATCAGCAAGGGCAAAATGTAATATGTGTTTATGTAGCTATTGGTCAAAAAGCATCTTCTGTGGCTCAGGTAGTGACCACTTTCCAAGAAAGGGGAGCGATGGAGTACACCATTGTGGTAGCCGAAACGGCGGATTCCCCAGCTACATTACAATACCTCGCTCCTTATACAGGAGCTGCTTTGGCTGAATATTTTATGTATCGTGAACGACACACCTTAATCATTTATGATGATCTTTCCAAGCAAGCACAGGCTTATCGCCAAATGTCTCTTCTATTACGAAGACCGCCGGGTCGTGAAGCTTATCCAGGAGATGTATCCAGGAGATGTTTTTTATTTGCATTCGCGCCTTTTAGAAAGAGCCGCTAAATCAAGTTCTCAGTTAGGTGAAGGAAGTATGACTGCTTTACCAATAGTTGAGACCCAGTCGGGAGACGTTTCGGCGTATATTCCTACTAATGTGATTTCCATTACAGATGGACAAATATTCTTATCCGCCGATCTATTCAATGCTGGAATCAGACCTGCT